AGTAGCAGCTGGGCTTAGGGTCAGGGAGCCCTTGGATGAAAGCTTTCTCAGGCCCAGGAAACAATATCACAGGCTACTTGCTTACAAACATGGCATAACTATCAAGCAGTGTAATATCCTAAGCATTCTTTCAAGAGTAAGCTTAGTAGAAATGTTGAGAGAAAAAACTAGGCAATTATCTCTTAGCAGAGGCTCTGGAGGGAGGAGTAGCCTATCCAGCTCAACAGTTACCCAGTGCAAAATCTGCCTTCTCAAAAGAGGAGAGAGGCTGCAGGACCGCTCTAGATTAAAGGCCTCCTATCCTCTTGGGTTATGTATATTCGCAGGACTCAAAGGATGACAGTGGGGGAATGCCTTCAATCAGCAATATTCAGTCCTTGGAGTATTTAAGTTTCTTCTCTTTCCCTGAATTTGTCTCTTGCCCAGTTTTTGATGGTCTTTGGAAAGCCGGCTGCCATACTTGATAAGGCTTGGCTGTGGTAATGTGTTAGGGCTCAGGTTCAAGAGCTGGTGGGGAGAGGAGGAAGCTGGGGACCTTGTGGGGCTAGAGTTAAGGCTGGCTACTAACCCAGTTTGAGGGCAGATGACTCAACTGATTCCAATACAGAGAAGTCAGAATCTGAGCTAAACATCAGTTTTGTTTTGTGTATCAGTGTGCTAATGGGTTCAAATCAGCCCTACTGACCCTGTCTCAAAACCTATCTCCAATCCAATTTTATAGGTAATAATAAAATTGTAGCTAACATCTAATATTCATTTAGTGATGTGCCAGCTGCTATACTAAATACTTCTCATTTAATCTTTTAACCATCACCTTAAGAAGCAATGACTATAGTAATTACCCTGGTAATATGAACTACCATTTAACGAGGGCTTACTGTATGCCAGAGAGTACTAAGTGCTTTAGATTGATAAAAACATTTAATTCTCACAACCGCAAAGACAGGTACTATTGTTATCCCCACTCTACGAAGGAAGGAAGTCAGCCACAAAGATTAGGTCCTCTGCCTAAAGGCCTGCAACTGGGAAATGACAGCACTGGGCTTGGAACCCCCAGTCTTTAACTCTCAAGTTCATCTACCTAATCACTATATTCTACTGCCTTTCCCAGCTACTTCTACTTATCATACCTTTTTTTTTCTAAAGATTTATTTGAGAGAGCATGTGCATGTGCACACCAGGCGAAGGGCAGAGGGAGAAGGAGAGAGAGAATCTTAAGAAGACTCTGCACTAAGGACAGAGCCAGATGCAGGGCTCGATCTCACGACCCGAGCTGAAACCCAGAGTTGGACGCTTAACCAATGGAGCCACCCAGGTGCCCCTACTTATCAAACTCTTTAATGTATAGTGGACACTACTCTGATTAGTTCTTCTCCCATTAACAGTTCATTCATACTAACTAGCATTTTGGATCTCACAGCGGTCTCTGGTTTCCTGGTCAACTGTTCTTTCTCTTCTCTCTTTAAAGATTTTATTTGTAAGTAATCTCTACACCCAACATGGTATAGATTATGACCCCGAGATTAAGAATTACGCACTCCACCAACTGAGCCAGCCAGGCGCCCCGGTCAACCATTCTTCTCTTATAGGTAATAGTATTGATTCACTCCCCCGCCCAAATTGAGGTTCTGCTCATTTTTAAAAAACATACCTTGCTCAACTATGCTGTTTATATGAATAATATATCATGCTAGATTTTGTTTATGTACTTTTTTTGTAATTAAAAGTTTTTTTTAAGTAAACTCCACACCACATGTGGGACTTGAACTCATGACCCCGAGATCAAGAGTCACATGCTCCACCAACTGAGCCAGCCAGGAACCCCTATGTGCTCTTTCTTAACTGTTACTCTGGAATCTTACTTTTAAAGGTTCTGTACAATCATACCTTAATTTTATTTTTCAGTACTCCCAGACACGGACCAACAGTACAAGTCAAGCTGACTGCTGTCCTCTATAAGGTTACAACAATTCTCATTCTGTGCCCTTGCTCTTACCTGTTTCATATGCCTTTTTCATTGCTCTCCTACTCTCCAAATCCTATTTGTTCATCAAGGCTCAGCTTAAATCCCTCCATAAAGTCTACCTAACTACCCTCAGTCCTACTGCTCATTATTTTCTCTGAATGTATGTAGCACTGCATTGCCTCAAAACACTTAGAATTTAATTATAATGTGTTTTTAATTATTTCTATAAATGCTAGCCAGTCCGATCCTTGCAGGGACCGTTATTTATACAGTTCTTGCTTTCTGCAGTCTTAGGCACAAAAGTGTGATACCACTGAAAGAGCATTAAGGAGATGTCCTGACCTGGTATTGGAGTCTCAAACAAGTTCCTGGGACTTGAACTCATGACTCTGAGATCAAGAGTCACATGCTCCACCAACTGAGCCAGCCAGGCACCCCTATGTGCTTTCTTAACTGTTACTCTAAAATCTTACTTTTCAAGATTCTGTACAATCATAGCTTATTTTTCAGTTCTCCCAAACATGGACCAACAGTACAAGTCAAACAAGCTCTCTGATACCCACCCTATTTTTCTCTTAGTGGAAAGTTATTACAACATCTTAAAGAACGTTAGCTTATAATTCATGGGCCAGCAGACGGGTCTATCAGATGAAAATATGCACCTCAGTGCTTCAGATCTCCCACTACTACGATGTTTCGTTTTTGTTTTTTTTTTTTTAAAGATTTTATTTATTTGAGAAAGAGAGACAGCATGAGAGGGAAGAGGGTCAGAGGGAGAAACAGACTCCCTGCTGAGCAGGGAGCCCAATGTGGGACTCGATCCCGGGACTCCAGGATCATGACCTGAGCCGAAGGCAGTCGCTTAACCAACTGAGCCACCCAGGCACCCTACGATGTTTCGTTTTTATAAACCTCAGGACAGCACCAAGCTATAAAATAAATATGAATGCCAACTTTTTGTTGTTGTTGTTTTAAATCATGCTGCTAATTTTATTTTTATTTAGTTTTTTTCCATTTTATAAAAGTTGTTTAAATATAATAACAATCAAATAATAACAGATTATTTCATAGAAGGCATGTAGAGCATACTAAGAATGTTGACTTTTAATAAACTGTGATGACAGCACAGAGGTCACCAACAATGGATATCAGAGAGCAGTAATCAAATAAAAGTCTATGTACAGTTTCACTTATCAGTTTAGGTAAAGAGATTAATTTGTCACATTGCTACCGCCCTGATAAAGTGAGACAACTACAGCTAAGGGGGAAATTAATATACAGCATAGATGCTACAAGCAGTGCATGAAAGCAACAGATGTCAAATAATTCAACAAATGTTTGTCTAACATTTTATCAACAGGAAATCTAAAATAAGTGAGTGTTCCCTCAGTAAATTTTCATAACTTGATGCACCATAAAATGCTGACACAACTTCTGATCTGATTTACAGACTAAATGATGTAAAATATAGTTCGAAGGCTCTTTTTTATTCTAATTCTTTAAATATGAGCATCAGCAGATGCTAATAATACCATTATGAGCCTGGATTTGCATTAATTTGAAGTATGGCTGACAAGCTAAATATGAAGAGAGAAAAAAACAAAAAGAGCACCTCCTAGGTGAAAACTACCTTCTTCTGTACCTCGAATGGGTGAAAAATACCCGATTATATCAGCACTGTATTCAGAGAAATGGGGAAGTATGGTTAAACTTCCTCCAACCTCCAAAACAAAAAGTAAGCTCAGCAATTGAAAGCATCTTGGAAACCACTTAGTAATACAGAAATGTACATTTCAACAAAAGCAGGCGTAACTCTGATTCACAATTATCCTTAGTTGTAACTGTACCTAAAAACTTGCTTATAAAGCTTCAGATATAGCCGGGAAGTCTTTTTGAAGACCCCAATAAAACATTCACCAGATAACACAGAACACTTAACAGTTTTGATCTTTATGACTCAAAGCTGTTACTGCGTAACTATAGATACAACACACCACTGCACACACTGAATTCCAGAATTCAGTAACGCGGAAACATTTTTATTCGTAGGGCAATATAATAATAATCTCCTATTGATCCAGTGATCTGGCACTGAAAGCGTGAACAACCCAAGGTAATGATGTCGTCACCAAGGGACGACAGGAATAGAACCCAAATCCCTCGGCTCCCAGGCTCGTGTTTTCTCCTAATTGTGCTCCTTTCTACTCATCCGAGAGCACCAAGTGTAAAGGGTCGGAGAAAGGAGTGGACACAAATGAGCGGAGTCGGCGTGGTGGAGACCGCAGTGAAGGTCCCCAGGAACCACTCTGTGGCACTTTCCTTTGTTTTGGCTGAGGACGATGAAGGCAGCCGCAACCACAACCCCCGGGGACCAAGAACTGGAACTAGGTACTGCCTGTTGTGCTAACTCTCTCTTCCTCATTTTAGGCCTTTCCTTTTCACCCTCTCCCAGCCAGCCAGCCCCGCCGCTCTCTCCGCCTCACTGCGCGTGCATCCCCTGCTCGGGCTCCGCTGCGCGCTTTCCTGCCCCTGTCCCCCGCCGGAGGGGCAGCTGCGGGTCCCCTGCGCCCTTAGGTGGTCAGGGCGCTCCCAGCTCTAAAAAACGAGCGCTAGTCAAGCGTTCTGTGTTTCAACTGTTAGAAACTCAAGCGGTGGGAACAGGGGTGTATACCAAGTCGGCTCTACGAGAGTCTGCGGAGCTCGTCAGGACAAAGCAAAATTTAGACAGCACAGAGCCTTTCTCTTCTCTCTCCCAGCTCAGCCATCCCGTGGGAAACCTCCCACTGCACGACGCTTTCCTGAGCGCGTGTGTTTACACTTTCCCTGCACGGGGCGGAGGAGACAGGCGCTCGCGCACTCCCGGGGATTCCAAACCGTTACTCCGCCCGCCGGGGTGGGGCCAGCCAACGGCCGAGCCTGCGCAGTAGACCTGGCCGGCTCCGGGGCCCCAGCGCACTACAAGTCCCAGAAGGCAACGCTCCGCGGAGAGGCGGGCAGCCTCTTTACCTGCCGCGAGCTTATTCCTCCGGCTGCTACAGCTCTCCCCATCCCCCGTTTCCGTGGGTCTCCTTCCCACAGTTAAAGGCTACTCTCTCTTGAAGCACGTGAGGAGAAGCCTTAGCAACCTCAACCTGGAAGCTCTTCGCGTACCCTCTTTGTCACCCTCTCCCCGAACTATGCCTAACTCCCTCACCGGAGTTGGGTAGTGGATGAGAGAGAAGGAAACCTGGGGAGGCTAAAGCCGCGGCAACTTGGTCGCACTTCCGCCTCCCGAGCTCCGGAAGGTAGAGCGCACGCGCTCCCTGCGACTCCGGCGCGGTTGACTTCCGCTCCCACTGTGCCCTGCGAGCCGAATCATGGATCACACTGGTAAGGAGGCGGAGGCAGTGGGGGTCCCGGTTCCATGCCCCCTTGGCCGGCCTGGGACTGGCTGCCCAGCGGGCAGAGAGGGGATACGCTCGCCCTACAGCACTGGGGTGTGGCGGTGAGAAAGAAATCTCACAGACCCCTCCCCGTGCCCGGTAAGGGCCTGCTGCTTCCTGGCCTACGGTCCGGTGTGGTACCTACAGCCTCGGTGCCGGCAACAGCCGCTTCTCTGGTTCTGCTGAGCTCCCAGCCGAGACGGTGGGCGGCGCGGGCCTCATGGGGACGAGAGAGCGCTGGCTCCTTTTTTTCTCTTCCCGGGTGCTCTGCTCTATGTGTTGGGGACTGGCGGGTAGATTCCGATCTACGAGTCGGGGAAGCCTCATTACGCTGGGAGTCGATGCGCGGGAGTGGTTTGGAGACTTCCTGCTGTCTCAGTTAGCCTTGGGCGGGTGCTGCGGTGGTCACTGCCGGTCGTTATTGTCTCTCCGGTCCTTCATGGACTGGAGGTGAGAGAAGGGAGTCGGATATGGTTTCCGGAATCATACTTGGAGTGGCTTTTCTGCCTGAGCCCAAAGCGTGCCCCGCGCTTCGGCTGTGGTCCTTACTCATCATTTGGGGGCGTTTACAAAGGAGAGTTTAAATTCAAGATATTCTTATCTCTTTCCTCAAGTAAGAATGCGCTCTTCGTTATGTTGTTTGGCTTTTTCTTTTTTGTGGTTTTTGGATATTGAATGGGTGCACTTGGAGTTAGTGTTCCGTACAGTTCTATCAGCCATATCGTAAGTAGGAAAAAAGGATATTCTTTGTATTAAGTACTGGTTAGGATATTCTCAGTCATCAAATACCTACTTAATTTTGTACATAAAGGTATGCCTGGGTGGCTCAGTCAGTTGAGCGTCTGCCTTCGGCTTGGGTCATGATCCCAGGGTTCTCGGATCGAGTCCCATATTGGGCTCCTTGCTCAGTGGGGAGCCCGCTTCTCCCTCTGCCGCTCCCCCTGCTTGTGCTCTCTTTCTAAAAAAATAAAAATTTTGTACAGAGTGATATCAAATTATATCTCTATAGAATGTAGTGAGTGCTAGTCAGCATAATATGTGGTAGATACCTCTATGCCTGGAGATGGAATGATGGAATTGTAAACAAGACGGACTGAGTCCCTGACTTCATGGAGATTACATTCTGTTGGGGAAGCCACGATAGACAAGTTTTTTTTAAAAACCTAAACATTAGAGATCATAAGTGCTTTGAAAAAAATGAAACCGTGTCTGTGGTAAAGACTAATAGGAAGCTTCAGAGAGGGTGGTCAGGGAGGGTCTTTATGTAAAGGTAGTATTTATAAGCTGAGATCTGATGGATGAGAAGAATCTATCTATGGAATTAGGAGGAAAGCATTTCTAGCAAATACAAAGACTCTGAGGAAGGAAAACTTTTAGAGGTCAGTCAGTTGCAGCTTAGCAAGAAGAGCAGAGCCCTAAGAGATTGGAAAGGAAGGGAGGAGTCAGATCGTGCAAGACTTTGAAGGCCATGGTAAGTGCAATGTGAAGCCATGGAACAGGGGTACAGGAGGAACATAATTTCCTTTAAAAATACAATAAGTTGTTCATGGAGAATGACAATTTAGACGGTGATTGCAGTAGACAAGAAGAGAGGCCCAGCTTAGTGAAGTTGGCTTGGTTTAGGAAAAGGGGAGTGTGCAGATTCAATATTTGGTGGTAGAACTCAAATAGCTTTGTGAGAGAAAGGAGAGATGCCTAGGTTTCTGGTTTGAGCAGCTAGGTGGTGCCCATTATTAAGTTGGGGAAAACTTTGGAGGAAAATGGACTTTTTTTTTTTTTAAGTGGTAAAGGTGAGACTTGGGAACAAGATTTTGGACTGCTAAGTATGAGTTGTTTACTGGGACATACAAGGGGTGCTGTCAGGTGGAGATCAGAGGAAAGATCTGGGTTGAAAAATACATATTTGAGATTTAGGACCAGATAGCTAATATTTTAAGGAATGAGGATGGATGAGATCACTCAAGGAATGAGAATACAGAGGAGAAGAGGGCCGAGAACCAGGCTGTAAGGAACTCTAGTATTTGGAAATTTTGTAGAATTGAAGCAAGTTTTGCTCAAGCATGCAACTTGAGCAAAACATTTCTCATTAGAGCCTTTTACTAGAATTTGGGGTCAAGCACCTTCCACAGTTAGAGGGTGTTATGTTAAGAAGTTGTAGTATTGCTGGGTGTGTCTCTGAGTATTTATTATCCTAGTTCTCTAAGTTAAAGTGTTGCCTAAGAAAGGAAAGAGTCATCCTGACATGAAAATATTCACAAATGAGCCAACCACTTAAAAAATTAGTTCCTACTCAGATATAGATATCACTGCTGCTCCTTTTCTATTCTTCTTCTTCTTCTTTTTTTTTTTAAGATTTTATTTTTAAGTAAGCTCTACACCCAACGTGGGGCTTGAACTTACAACTCCTAGGTCAAGAGTCGCATGTTCTACCAGCTGAGCCAGCCAGGCGCCTCTTTTTTCTATTCTTTTAATTTTGTTATAAGTCATTGTCCTTGTTTCATACCAGGAAATGGTATCATATGCTGTATATTGATTGTGATTATAAACCTTGCAAAAGATACAGGTTTTCATGGAATTCATAAACATGAATTTGTTAACTTTTTGAAGCACAAATAAAAATCATTGGCAAGTGAGGAAATGCCAGTTGATTGAAGACATGACTAGGTAGGTAGGCATCTGAAAAGAAAGATTTTAATGTCAAAGGATTAAGAGAGGCTCTTGGGGAAATTGAAATCCTTGAATATTATACACAAAAATGACTGAATTTATGGTCATGCTGAAAAGTCAAACATAAAATGAAGGCTATCTTGTAGTGTTCTAATAGAATTTTGCTAGGAAAAACTACTCCAAGAAACTCCGATTAACACTTGATTCATTCTTTGGTCGTTCTAAGAGTCAGCACTTAGTTGTAACTGAAATCTAAATTTTGTAAAACATTTCTTGGTTCCTTTAATTCAGGATAAAATTCTAAATGAATTTTTTTTTTAAAAACTATAATATAAATTGTTAGTCCTTTTTAAAGTGGATTCACCTTAAATGGCCTCAAAGTTAAAGAGGTGCCTGTCTGGCTCAGCCAGTAGAGCATGTGACTCAATCTTGGGGTTGTAAGTTTGAGCCCCACATTGGATGTAGAGATTACTTAAAAAGAAAATCTTGAAAAGAGAAAAATAAATGACCACTTATAGCATTAGTTCTCATTTTCTGTGTAATATCCAAGAACTTTTGTGCTTACGGGCTTTATATTTTTAGTTGGCATATTAAAAAAGAAATTGTGCTGTATTTTCTGATTTTTAATTAAAAAAAAAAAAAAGACAAACCCAGAGTGATGTCACTCTTAAATGCTGTGCTTTGTTTATGGGCTTGAAATCTGTGAGGTAGGTGGCAAGGTGTTAAGGGGCAGTGGACTTCCTAAAAGTTGTGGTAGGCTAAGCAAGCAACCGTTGTGACAAGTGTTCAGGGTGGTGGGAAAAGGATTTGCAGTAATGAAGTGTTGGTATTTTGGTCATTCCTCTAGGTAAAACCGTTGAGTCCTTCTAATATATGAAGGACAACATTGAACTGTTAAATCTGTCTACATTAACTTGCTTTTTTAGTTTATTGAAAAATCAGGAATACCTTTTGAGCAAGAAAAAGAAATTGATTCATATCTGTCCTTTGGGTGTTACATTGCTCGTAGGTACTTTTACATAAATAACTAGAATGGAAGCAGATGAAATACATTATTCAACTTGTTAATACATTTTGTGAAGTGTTGAAAGTTGACCAAGTTGAGTTTAGGGTTAGGGTTAGGCCCATGTAATTCCTTTCCATGAATTTTTTCTTTGAGGATTAGCTATTGTAAAAGTAATAGTAGAAAGTAGACTGAAAGATACTTAAATTAATTATTAAGGACCTATTTTGCATTTTGTTCTAAATATTGTTCAGAAAGAGGGGCACCTGGCTGGCTCAGTCAGAAGAGTGTGCAACTCTTCATCTCGAGGTTGTGAGTTCGAGCCCCATGTGGGGTATAGAGATTACTTAGATAAAAAAAACTTAAAATAAATATTGTTCGGAAAGAGTGCAAATTGATGTGAATTTAACATGTGTCTATGATCCTAGTAGCCTTGGAGGTCATTAGTACTAGGTTACTACTTCCAAATTTGGCTTTACTGAATGTAATGTGAACAGTGTGCCTATCAGTCTTGATTGTACTATCTCCTGCAGGGCCAGTTCAAAAAATTGTCACATTTAAAACATTACTTTTTAAAAATTATTTTATTTGGGTGGCGCCTGGGTGGCTCAGTCTTTAAGCGTCTGCCTTCTGCTCAGGTCATGATCCCAGGGTCCTGGGATCGAGCCCCGCATCTGGCTCCCTGCTCCGCGGGAAGCCTGCTTCTCCCTCTCCCACTGCCCCTGCTTGTGTTCCTGCTCTCGCTAACTCACTCTCTCTGTCAAATAAATAAAATCTTTTAAAAAATTATTTTATTTGCATTTCCTATTTTAGGGCATTTTCCTTTGTGTCTTTAGTAGGTAAAGGTGAATATTTTCTGTATTGTAATATTTTGTCATAGACTTGAAAAAAAGGGAGACAACCTTCAGATGGAGTCAGTTTTATGAAGTAATGCTCCTATTACTCATGAGAAGTGAGTTAATTTATTTCATAGCTAATAACAAGCCTGGACTTAGAAAGTGTCCCTATTTAGATCTAATTTAGTCACAGAAACCTTGCATCCACCTAAACTCTAATGTTTAGAGTTTCCATTATGATGCTGCTCAGAGTAACACACTCTCATTATATATCTAGAAAGTTTATAGCACAAATACATTATTGCATGTTTCTGCTATTAAATGGTGTAATAATTTTTGCTATTCTTGAATACTTTTTAGAAAAACTTATTTTACCCCTAAGGAAATAATCACCTTCCTTAAAACTAACTTCGTTTTCAAGTGCATTATTTCTTTAATTTTGCCATTGTCAGTTTTGTGTTTTGTTTTTTTTGATTGTCCTAGTGTAGATTCACTTCACTGACTGAACAAGTGTTTTGTGTGCTTGATGGAGAAGAGGGATGATTTTCTTTCTTTTCCTCCTCCTTCCTTTTACTCTTTTTTTTTTCTTTGAAAAAAATCTCTTCTAGTTAGAGACAGAAGTTCTTATCTTGGGCTTATGAAAAGTTTTTTATGTTTTCTGTAAACTTCTGGAATCATGAAAATTTTTATTTTCTACTTTAGGGAGAGGTTCTATAACTTTTGTCAACTTTTTAAAGGGTTCCGTGTCTCAAAAAGCATTGCATTAAGGTTTTATCCAGTACAGAGAAAGTTAGTGTTTAAACTTACATAACATAATATTTAAAATCAGAGCCCAGATATCTAGCCCTTGATAATGTTGGGTATGTAACTTTAATACCTGTGGCAGAATAATCTTCAAAAAAGGAAAACTAAAGGAAATTACAACTTTTTTCTTCTGACATAGATAATGAGTTACAAGGCACTAATAGTTCTGGATCATTGGGTGGTCTTGATGTTCGAAGACGAATTCCTATAAAGCTCATCTCCAAACAAGGGAACAAAGCCAAAACTGCACCTCGAACTCCAAGGACTATAAACAGGATGCCTGCAAAGGCTCCGCCTGGTGATGAAGGTAATTTGTTTTAACTGACAAGTCCACAGGTCTGTCTTTTGTATCTCATTCCACCAAATAATCCATGTGGTCTTACTTATTTATTTACTTAAGATCTTTTTTTATCTTACTGTCTTCATTTTTTAGTCTTTTTGTTTGACTTCTCATTTTGGCATGTACTTTTTCTCTTCCTTTATAATATTTTTGGTTTTTTCTTTTGTTATTGAAAGCAACACTGCATGTTGTTAAAAAAAAAAACCTAAATAATATTGCAGAAAACATAATATTAAAAGTGAAATTTGTTCCTCTACCTTGACAGTACTTCACCAAAATAATTTTTTATAGTAACTTTTTAATGTATAACTGCCCTTTTTGCATGTAAGATGCATTTGAAATTTTGCCGTTTATCAGTATGTACAGATGTACTCATTTAAGAAAATAGGTTTAGATATTTTTTTATGGATATGCCATAATTTAGTAATTTTTCTAACTTTTTTGCTGTTAAAAACAATGTTGTAGTAAATATTCTTGTACATGTATACTTGGTGTAGAATTTAAACTGCCTGATTTGGGTATTTTATAACTTGATGGATACTATGCATTTTAGAATTTAACTGATATTGTCAAGTAGCTCTTCAAGAAAATACATCAGTTTATATTCCCACACACCAATATTGGGACTATTACCCTTTTAAAATTTTTGTTTTGATACACATTTCTTTAATTATAAGTGGGGTTATATATATATCTTCTCATAGTATGTCTTTTACCTAGGATCTACTTGTTCATATCCTTTAACCATTTTTTTTTCTGTTTTGTTGTCTTTTGATTTTTATGAGTTCTTCACAAATTATTTTACAAATTGGCTTTTATGAGTTCTTTACAAATTAATGTACAAATTGGCTCTTTGTCATATATTGTGTATCTTCACCATTTGTCTTTTGCATTTTATATATATAGTTTTTATTGTATAGAAGTTTGAAGATTCTGTGTAGTCAGAGACCAATCCAGTCTTTTCTGTTATGACTTCTGGGTTTTATAACATTCATAGAAAGGCCTTTCCCCTATTTCATGAGCATAAAATAGTTTTCCCGTCTTACCCTTTAGTACAGGGTCAGCAAAGTATGGCCTGTGGACCAAATGCAGCCCAGTTTTTATAAAGTCTTATTGGATCACAGCTATGCCCATTCATTTAAGTACTGTTCATGGCTGCTTTCACACTATAATGGCTTAGTTCAGTAATTACAAGAGACCAGCACAGCCTAAAATATTCACTTATCTAGCCTTTTACAGAAAAAGTTAGCTGGCATTGGAACACTTATGGACATATATTTGGTTATTAAAAAAATAAAGTGGAGTTTGGCTCTGTTTATTTTTTCTCTGAAACAGCTAGCTGTTTGTGCCAACTCTTGAGTGATCTGTCTTCTCTTTGCCAAATAGGTATCCCATCATTATCATACATTAAACGTTTAAACGTATTTATTTATGTCTGTTTCTAGATTTTCCGTTCTTTTCCAGCAATCTGTCTGTATTTCTTTTTTGGAATCAAACTATTTTAATTATACCTCATATTATGCTTCCTTGTATTGTAGGGTATCTCTCCCCATCTGAACAAGTACATTTGAAGTCAAATGTTCTAAGTCATGGTGGTAGCAACTTAGGGCTGCTGCCGCCCTATCCCATAACCTAGGGGGCCCTCTCTTTGGTCTTTTGGTTTCTTTTAATAATTTCTAAAAACTACCCACTAATACGCAAATAAATTCTTGTTGTAATAATCCAAACAAGGCAAAAAAGCTAAAACCCCCCTTCTGTCCTTTTGCTGTCAGACGCCCCTCCATTCCCTCTCCTCTCCCCAAGCCCACCCCCCTTTCCAGAGGGAACTGCTGTTACATTCTCTCTCTCAGCACAGCCAACTGAGGCTGAAGATAATTTTTGAATACTTCAGATTCACTTACTTGGGGTAAAAAAGTAATAAGTGATTGGTGTTTTTCCTAGGCATTGATCAAAATAGAGAGTTTTGGGTGCTGATATATCTATGTGAATATATATAGTATGTAGTTTAAGGATGGGAGTATAGGTTGAACTACTCTGATAAATGATTATGTGTTCCTTATTTCCTTGTTTGTTGCTTTCTGCATTTTAGATAAGTAAGAGAAATTGATTTTCCTTATTTTGAGTTTTAGATGACAGCAGCTTTTATAAGATATAAATGGGTCATATGAGAGTCTATGGTCACTCATTTGTAGCTTTATAACTTTGAACTTTATATCTTTATATCTCCTTTGTATTGGAGATAATTAGCAGTGCACTGAAGTGTCTCTACCAGCTTTGAAAAACTCTTGCGTCATTGTATTTGTGTGTCTGCCCATGTGCCTATCCATATATAGCTGCTGTAATTTAGCCATGTGGGTAAAGTTAAAACTTGTGTGCTTGGGCTACTCTTTTTACCAGTTTTAGGGCCAAAAGAGACATGAGAAGCCTGGCATTTTGGAGGGATAGATGTGTCTTCTCAGCTTTACTTTAGGTAATTGGATTCTACCTAGAATTACCATCAGACTACCCCCTTGGTTGTCTGTTCTTTTGTATGAGATGAGAAGATTATGATCAGGGTTAGAGAAATTGAACCCATTTGATCTTCATAACTTTATTGGTACATGCAATGTAGAAGAGGATACTTGTAAATAGATACGATATGGCTTCTGCTGTTCGGTTGATAAACCAGGGAGAGGTTTTAACTGAAAGGATGAAGTATGAATATGTTGTTGTTTCTAAAATCAGGCTCAGTTTTAAGACTGAAGGAGAGGATACCTAATTTACTAAGTCATAAGAAGAAAACCTGAAGAATTCTTTGTTTCCATTATATACTTAATGGCAATGAAATCAGCCTCTTGCAGCATGATACCACTTTTGTAGGAAGATTAGAGTAAGTGGTGATCAGTATCTTAAAAGTTTGTGCAACAAGTGTGATGATGGTAATTAGTGAAGTTTAAACTAGAGATAGTCTGATGAGTTAATAAGAGCACTTGAATGGGAGTGAAGAGTTCTGAGGTCTGTTCTGGCTCTACCACTAATCTATGTGTTGAGTTATTATGGGTCTCAATGCTACAATATTCTCAATTGTGAAGTAAGAGAGTTGGACTAGATGGTTGCCAAGATCATTTCTAGCTGATATTTTAAACTCAAACTAGTTGATTATCTTGTTCTTAGAAGAGCTTTGAAAGGCTTCAGATAGGCTTTTCGGTGAACAGGTCTGTGGTGCCATATACATGTACTTCCAAAATGAAATTTAGGCTTTGAAAAGTTAATCTTTAACACTTTCTTTTCTCAGAAGGATTTGATTATAACGAAGAAGAACGGTATGACTGTAAAGGGGGCGAACTTTTTGGAAATCAGCGAAGATTTCCTGGACACCTTTTTTGGGACTTCCAGGTATAACTAAAAATAAAAAATATTATTAGAACAATAAAATACCAAGTATTTTATTAGAACAGTCAGAAAAAAGAATGGTTTGAGCTTTTATTGCAGCTGTTATGCTTTTTAGAGAACACTCAAATGATTTGTTTATTAATGCCCCTGTTTCCACTATTTTCAAAAATAATTTGAAGTCATTTTCAGTAAAGTGAAGTAAAATCAATAACCATAAACACTAAGAGAAAAAAAACCTAACAGTGGCACAGCTAATGATGTGGAATATATAGGAACTATACCAAGAAACCCTTAATTGTTCTAAGAACTTTTATAAATACTAACCAATTCATTGCATAATTATAAATACAATTTTTAGAAATGCTTAAAAAGGAAATTTTAATTATATCATTTCAACAGATAAACATCTTAGGTGAAAAGGATGATACACCAGTACATTTCTGTGACAAATGTGGATTGCCTATTAAAATCTATGGGCGAATGGTAAGTATCACTAAATTAAATGTTTTAGTAAATGTAAAATTTGCATAGAGATGGGATTCTGAAATTTAAATAGATAGGTTTATCACTGTTTAATACTGAGTTTGTGACATTTTTAAATAAGTATGAAATGGCTAAGGGAAATTTTGGGATAACATGTATTTAATATAACTGACAAATTCTTCACTTGCTTAAAAATTACTAAGGAAACTAACTTCTGAAAACTTCTTTGGACTGTTTGATAGTTGTTAGTATACATTTATTATAGTTTATTAAGGAAAAATTTTCTTGTTTAAAGAATAAAGTCAATTACTCGTTTCTGAAGGTTATAATTTTTAATGTAAAACTAATAATATTTAGAATTTTGGCGAGTTGAATTCTAATCATTAAAAACAATTACAACCCCCTCGCTGTAATTTTATAGTAATTTTGACACACCCTCCGTTAAAAAAAGATAGTTTTACATTTGTGTTTGGAAAAAAAAGATTGAACTCAGTAACATATCTGCTGGTAGAGGGCATAAATTGTACACTCTTGCTTTGCTGTATAACATAACTAAATAACAGTAATGTGGATTGTGAATTTTAAAATGGTTTAACATCATTTTACCCTGTCCTTCTGATTTATTTTTGGATTTTTATAAGTTTATTAACTGCCAGAGAAAAATGCTACTTATATTAAACGTAGGAGATATTTCTTATTTTATTGCTTTGGAATAGTTTCAGGAGGAACAGGATAAGATAAAACATGGTTATGGTATTTTTTGGGAGTTTTTTTTTATTTTTAACTTTTTAATTTTTAATTTTTTAAACACATTTAAGGGTCTTTATTTTTAAGATTTTTATTTTTATTTATTTATTTGAGAGAGAGAGTGAGAGAGGGAGAGCACATGAGAGGGGGGAGAGTCAGAGGGAGAAGCAGACTCCCCGCTGAGCAGGGAGCCTGATGTGGGACTCGATCTCGGGACTCCAGGATCATGACCTGAGCCGAAGGCAGTCGCCTAACCAACTGAGCCACCCAGGCGCCCCTAATTTTTTTATTTTTAATTGAAGTACAGTTGACATTAAATTAGTTTTCAGGTGTACAATATAGTGGTTTGACAATTACATATATTACACTGTGCTCACCATGATAAGTGTGGTTACCATCTTTCACCACACAAAGTTATTACAGTATTATTGACTGTATTTCAGTATTGTATAATATAATTCAATATATTTCAATATTGATTATGCTGTACTTTTCATTCCTATGACTTGTTTTGTAACTGGAAGTTTGTACCTCTTAATCACCTTCACCTATTTTGCCACAACCACTAATGTGTACTCTGTATTTATGACTGTTTCTCTTTTTGTTGTTGTGGTTGTTTTTTATATTCTACATGTGAGTGAAGTCATATGGTATTTGTCTTTCTCTGTTACGTTTTTTTAAAAGATTTATTTATTTTAGAGAGAGAGAGCACATGTGCTCATGGTGGGGGAGGGCAGAGGGAGAGAATCTCAAGCAGACTCCTGCTGGGCATGGCGCTTGATGCGGGGCTCAATCTCATGACCCTGAAATCGTGACCTGAGCTGAAATCAAGAGTTGGTTGTTTAACTGACGGAGCCATGCAGGTGCCCCTTTCTCTGACTGACTTTACTTAGCACAACCCCCTCTGGGTGCATCCACATTGTTGCAAATGGCAAGATTTAATTTTTAAGTGTATATTTTTAATTATATGTATTTTTATTTTGTTATATTATTATACATTACATCATTAATTTTTCATGTAGTGTTCCATGATTCATTGTTTGCATATAACACCCAGTGCTCCATTCAGTATGTGCCCTCTTTAATACCCATCACCAGGCTAACCCATCCCCCCACCCCCCTCCCCTCTGGAACCCTCAGTGTGTTTCTCAGAGTCCATAGTCTCTCATGGTTTGTCTCCCCCTCCGATTTCTCCCCCCTTCATTTTTCCCTTCCTACTATCTTCTTTTTTTTTTTTAACATATAATGTATTATTTGTTTCAGAGGTACAGGTCTGTGATTCAACAGTCTTATACAATTCACAGTGCTCACCATAGCACATACCCTCCCCAAAGTCTGTCACCCAGCCACCCCATCCCTCTCACCCCCCTAATTATATATATTTTTAGTGTATATTATTTATTATTACTTTTATTGTATTATTATTTTTGTATTATTTATTATTTTATAATTTTTAAATATTCCATTGTGTATATGTACCACATCTTCTTTATCCATTTATCTATCATTAGACACTTGGGTTGCTTCCATATCTTGGCTATTATAAATAATGTTGCAATAAACATAAGGGTGCATATGCCTTTTCAATTAGTGTTTTTCGTTTTCCTCAGGTAAATTCCCAGAAGTGGAATTAGTGGATTGTATGGTACTTCAAGTTTTAGTTTTTTGAGGAACTTCCATATAGTTTTCTACAGTGGCTGCACCAATTTATATTCCTACCAGCAGTGCAGTTGAGGGTTCTTTTTTCTCTACATCCTCACCAACACATTATTTCTTGTCTTTTTTTTGATACTAGCCATTCAGACAGATGTAAGGTGATATCTTATTGTGGTTTTGATTTGCATTTCTCTGATGATTAGTGATGAGCATCTTTTCACTTGCCTATCGGCCATCTGAATGTCTTCTTTGGAAAAATGTTTATTCAGGTCCTCAGCGCATTTTAATCAGGTTATTTGGTGTTTGGTTTTTTTGTTTGTTTGTTTTGGTATTGAGTTGTATGAGTTCTTTTGGTGTTTTAGGTATTAACCCCTAATTGGATATATCATTTGCAAATTTCTTCTCCCATTCAATAGGTTGTCTTTTTGTTTTGTTGATGGTTTCCTTTGCTGTGCAAAAGCATTTTAGTTTGTTGTAGTCCCAGTTACTTCTTTTTGCTTTTGTTTTCTTTGCCTGAGGAGACATATCTAGAAAAATGTTGCTAAGATTGCTGTTCAAGAAATTGCTGCCTGTGTTTTTCTTTTAGGAGTTTTATGGTTTTAGGTCATGCATGTAGGTCTTCAGTCCATTCTGAGTTTATTTTTGTGTATGGTATAAGAAAGTGGTCCAGTTTCATTCTTTTCCTGGCTGTCCAGTTTCCCAACACCATTTATTGAAGAGACTGCATTTTTCCCATTGTGTATTTTGTTTCATCTGTCGTAGATTAATTGACCATATGAACGTGGGTTTATTTCTGGGCTCAACTCTGTTTCATTCATTTGTATCTGTTTTGTGCCAATACCATCCTGTTTTAATTACTACAGCTTTGTAGTTTAGTTTGAAATCTGGGATTGTGATACCTCCAGATTTGTTCTTTCTCAAGATTACTTTGACTGTTCGGGGTCTTTTGTGGTTCCATACAAACTTTAGGACTTTTTGTTCTAGTTCTGTGAAAAATTGCATTGAATCTGTAAATTGCTTTGGCTGGTGTGGGCTTCTTTAGGAGCTTTACATGCTAGGAACCACAGGATGAAACTCATAGCGTTTGTACTTCCAGAAAGTGTAAGCAGATGCACATGTATTCGTTTACTGGGGAAAGGGCCAAAGTTTTCCTTATATTCTTAAAGGGCTTTGTTACTGAAAAAGGTTAACTGTTGCTTTTCTGTAACTAGTACTTAATAAATGTTTTTGTTTGTTTGTTTTGATGAATCGTTCTCAAGTGCTTTCTGTGTCTAGGTTACTGTGCTTACAGTTACTTTTTATGGAAATATTTTAAATTCTCATGTGCTTAACTATTATGTCTCTGTTCACAGATTCCATGCAAGCATGTTTTTTGCTATGACTGTGCTATTTTACATGAAAAAAAAGGAGATAAGATGTGTCCAGGGTAAGATTATCATTACATTTTTAAATAATAAAGTTTGTGATGGGATGAATTGTAATCCAGGTTAAAGGTCAGGGTATGATGTAAGTCAGCAGCAGGATATCAAATATGCAGACATAGCTAATCTTTCTTTGTGAGCCCAGAGTTGGCCTTAGCCTTCTCCTTAGGATAGGGCTAGGTAGCTATTATCTGTCAGTTCAGATTGGCCAAAACAAATATATTTGTCATCACAAAATTGGTGTTATAAACCAAAACAGTTGTTTTGTATTTTTGTTTTTTGTTTTTTTTTCTGATGGGACACTAGAGAGATAGTATCAAGCAGTGATTGAGAACAGAGACTTTGGAATTAGAATTCCTGGCTTCAAATCCATATTCTGCCACTTATTAGTTATGTGACAGGTTGTTTCTTCATCAGTAAAATGGAGCTAATAATAGTATCTACCTCCCTGTGTTGTTGTTAGAACTAAACTAGTATGTATATTTGTAGCACCTAACATATAATAAGTACTATGTTAAGTATAAGCTGTTATTTATTACCTTCAAATCTTATTATTTATATCTCGAGTATATCTTAGGACACCATCATGACATCAGCTCAGACAAGTTATGAAGAAGATCTAGAGGTATTTGGGTTGATATTGATCCAGTTTGGGATGGTCTTGAAAGATCCAGAGTAAATTGGGAATTTTTATATCCATTTAGAACCCCTGATAGAAGACTTGAGAAAGCTGTGAGACAAACTTCCTTAGAGCAATTGTAGGCTTGTGAGATTTTATAACCTGTGTCAGAAGCTATCTCAAGACTGGTAGTATTGGTTGATAACAGAAATTGTGGACAGTTGCAGGGGATGGTTTCTTTTTGTGGTGTAGGAAGATTGACATCACTGAGAAAGGATGATTCACTAAGTGTTCTAATATTAATATTTAAAAGGGAATTTAGTTTTCAGGATATTAAGTGTAACTCCCAAGTAAGCACCTCACTGGTTGGCCCTTAGCTATTTGAGAACATAAGCCTATCTAGCTGTTTAACAGACTCAAATCAGGAAGAGAAGAAATGGCAGCGCACGTTAATATAAATATCTACTGTTGCTTTTAAGCATCACCCAAAACAAAGTGCCTTACATCCTGTTACTGTAGAGATATTTCTGAGTTTACAGCAAAGTAGAAGCAAAAAATGAGAACTGTGCCAAATGGCCACTCAGGGGAAGCCTGCTAGGATCAAGGAGTGCCAGCCTTATAGCTAGGTTGGAAGTGTGGACACAGCTCAAAATCAAGACTAGAGAGCCATTTAATATAGTCTCAGATGACCTGACACACATGTTCAGTGATCAGAGCTTCTGTCTGTGCCTACGTAGTGCTTAACTAGTGATTCAATCCTGTCACTTTCATTGTTTCATTTATCCTAGAATATTCTTTTAAGTAGGGCAAAGTAGATAAAAAAAAAAAAAAGAACATTGTGATTAGGTAGAGGGCATGTTTTAACCCCATATGGCAGATGAAGAAATAAAAAGATTAAAAGACTTCTCCAAGTTGACAGAGCCGGTGCTTAAGCCCAGTTCTTCTGATATGTGGTTCAGTCCTCTTTCCACTATTTCTTCAAAGACTCCAAAGGCAAGTGTGGATTAAATACAGTGAATGAAGAAAAGTTAAATTTGACCCTGAGTCAGTAAGAAAACGTTGAGTTAAATTTAGTGCTTAGAGTTTAGAAGGGGATGTGTAATACTTTTTCGTAGTAAAATTGTCTGGTAATTCTTCCTTAAGGGACTCTGGATAGTCAGGGTTTGAATTTAAATCGTTCACGTTCTTGAATTTTAGGAACCCTGCTGATTAGGATGATCTTACTCATTTTTGTAGTCCTTGCAGCATCTTTTACTTCGTGTTGTTTGCTCAGCACATACTTAGTGCTCAGTAAATACCGAACAAGTTTGGATTCCATGACTATGACACATCTTTGGTTTATCCTCTCTGGATATTTTTGCAAATGGATGCAAAGCGTAGAGTTGTTTGAGACAACCAGATCATTCTGGGTCTTAGGAAGAATAGGTCTTTTCTTAAAACATATTCTGTTTGATGAGCACTTGTAACTTACAATGTTTTTTTGTATTAAGAGGTCTGAGTTTGGTGGAAAGCTGTTGCTTAATAGGGAACAGACCACAGAGTGGGAGAGATTAAAGGTTCACTTTCAGTAACTACAACTTTTAATTGTGAACTTCTGCAGTATTTTCCACAACCGATTTTAGGAACAGGCATATATTATTTTTATAGTCTGCTTTCAGTAAATCAATTTTTTCCCCTTCTAATTTAGCTGTAGTGATCCTGTGCAGCGAATCGAGCAGTGTACACGAGGTTCTCTCTTCATGTGTAGCATTGTTCAAGGGTGCAAGAGAACATACTTGTCTCAGAGAGACTTACAGGCTCATATCAACCACCGCCATATGAGAGCTGGAAAACCTGTTGCCCGCGCTTCACTTGAAAACGTCCATCCGCCTATTGCCCCACCACCAGCCGAAATCCCCGATCGCTTTATAATGCCGCCGGACAAGCACCATATGAGCCACATTCCGCCAAAGCAGCACATCATGATGCCACCACCTCCTTTGCAACACGTGCCACACGAGCACTATAATCAGCCCCACGAGGACATCCGTGCGCCTCCTGCAGAGTTGTCCATGGCTCCACCTCCACCTCGTTCGGTCAGTCAGGAAACCTTTCGTATTTCAACAAGAAAACACAGCAATTTAATAACCGTCCCTATTCAGGATGACTCAAATTCAGGTGCTAGAGAACCACCACCTCCTGCCCCAGCACCTGCTCACCACCATCCTGAATATCAGGGTCAACCAGTGGTTTCGCACCCTCATCATATTATGCCTCCACAGCAACATTATGCACCACCCCCACCTCCTCCACCACCAATAAGCCATCCAATGCCACATCCTCCCCAGGCTGCAGGTACTCCTCACTTGGTTTATAGCCAAGCTCCACCTCCACCAATGACCTCTGCTCCACCACCAATCACCCCTCCCCCTGGACATATTATTGCCCAGATGCCACCTTATATGAATCATCCTCCTCCAGGACCTCCCCCACCTCAACATGGTGGTCCACCTGTAACTGCACCCCCTCCTCACCATTACAATCCTAACTCTTTACCCCAGTTCACTGAAGATCAAGGAACTCTGAGCCCTCCATTTACACAACCAGGGGGAATGAGTCCTGGTATATGGCCTGCACCAAGAGGGCCACCTCCTCCTCCACGAATGCAGGGTCCGCCTTCTCAAACCCCACTTCCTGGACCACATCATCCAGATCAGACAAGATATAGACCGTATTACCAATGATTAATAGTACTTTGAACTGAAGATTTGATGAGGAAAAAAAAACTTACGTATAGTCAATCTTTTAATTAAGCTTTGACTGTTTTGGGGAAGGAAAAGTACCTCTTACTGAGGTGACCATAAAACACTTAGGGTCTTGTCTCTTAAAATGGTTTTAAATCTTGACCTTAGAATTGACTTTGAGACTATACCGTAGTGCAGATAAGTCACTCAGTTGAGCACAGCTGTACCTTAACGACTTTGTCCCCCTAGTGCGCTAAATTGACCCAGAGGTGACCGTCTGTGAAAAATGTGAGAAGAATTTTTCATTGTTCCACTTTCAAAAATACGGCTTTTGTTAAATCCAATGTTTAGTTTTTCTGGTGATACATTTTGTTAACCTGTGTAAAAGGATTAAATTTCAAAATGGTTGTAAAAATGCTATTTTTATGTGAATTTAAGTGCAGCCACATACTGTTTTTTAAAACGTTTTACCACTAATTTCCCAAAGTTACAATAAAATCCTAAAAGTAAAAATCTACTAGAATTTACTGTAAGGCAGACTGTTAAATGGTAGAGAATTATTTCACATTTTAGGCACTGAAATTTTGAGGTATATTAAGTATATAATGCACTTCACTTGGATGCCTTTTCATTTTTAGGCAGCCTCAGGAGCACCAAAATACATTGGAATTCCATATTTATGTTCATAATATTAAAAGGCATTAGTAATTATTTGGAAAGATCCGGCCAAAGCAATTGACTCTACAGGCTCCAAGCTGTTGGGGGATACTGTTACTCGTTAATGCTTTCTACCGAATGGTTGGAATCACATGATGCACCACATTTACTAATCTAAAGTAACATTATTTTATAGAACTGTTTAAATTGTGTTATTCAGATGAAGTGTGTTCTACTCTGCTCATTGTCTTAAACTAAATATTTAGGGCTGAATAAGCTTTGTATAATTCCTCATTTCCTGGTAGAGTTTGATCTGTGCTTTGAGTGGGTTCTTGTCTATTGGGTTTTAAAGTACAGTATGAATGCCGTCGAGGAATACTGTATTAATGAAGGACGTTCTTGTAATCACAAACTTGGCGTTGCTCAGGTTTCATTACTGTGTGATAAGGTTTTTTTCTCTAACTTGAAATTTTAAAACTATTAATTATTTCCTATTCCTTTTATTGGTTAAGCACTATAAAATTTGGAACGTTTTAAAATGGAGTCAACAGTGCAGACTACCAGATGATTTTGTATAAGAGAAAAGGAATGACTAAATTGTGAATTTCAGAGCTTTATAAGGTGCCTTTAGAGTCAGCTTTTGCATTATAGGGGCTTGTTACAGTCCAGCTAAGATGACCACTTACGTTTTATACAGAACTCATATGTATAAATCAACACTCTTAGGATATTATTTTATATCCTTTGAATAAACCCCTGTGAAGTATTTCCTCCCCCCTAAAATGGTGCATAATATAAACATGAAAAGTGTAGTATGCAGATATCATTTATTAACTAGTTTGTAGTGCATAAATTTAGAACATTTCTTTTTGACAAAGGGTGAACTGATGGCTAATTTACCATTTAATTCTGTCAGATACAGGCAAAAAACAGTTTCTCATCTTGGATCATCAGATGCAGAGGCATCTATGAACTTAGAGCTGAAGTTAGAGATGATATCAATGATCATTTCAACCTTGACCAGCTGAAAATAACAAATACGCTTTTTTTTTAAAGTTATTTGAGTGATTTTTCACATCTAGCAATTTGAGAGTCCAGTGTTAATGCAATAGATCTAGTGAGAAATTCTTATTAGAAGCGTGGGAGTGAAGTATGAACTAGTGTGAAATGGTGGTGGTGAGTGCTTCTATCATATTACTGTAGGTACTTGGACTGGTGCAAACTTGATTCCTTTTCATGCCCCTGTTTAGGAGCTGTTAAAATATTACTGTTGAAAATCCAATACCATTCTTTGTTTCTTGTAATAAGAAAATAGCCAAATTCACTTTAGAGCTTTTCAGCTATCTATGAGGAGCTCTCCTGTTTTTACTGAAATTCGCTAGAGTTGAACGTGGTATGAAACCACTTAGCCTATGTATTGGACAAAACAATTACTATCATGATAAACTTCCACATGTTTAAGAGAATTCTCATAGACTTTTAAGAAAATGATTTCTTTTCAGTTAGGTTTAAAAAAATATGTATTATGCAGGGAGGCAGATCAGATGAATGTGTTGTAGCAGACAAAATTTTTAAATGGTGTTAGACTTGAATTCATCCAGTTATTGTTTGAATGAGGGTGGGTGGGTAGAAGGATAACAAAATTACTGTTAGTTTTTCTTTCCTTAAGGAAAAAGATGTGAATCCCAGCCTTTTTTCAGGGAAGCCTTTGAAGCTATGATGGACATAAGTCTAAATTAAATGTATGTATGTTTCATTATATTGCTCTTAAGACTACTGAGGTGGCAGTTTAATTCTTAAAAACAATAAAATGGAAGCATAAATACTATTTTGCCTAGATGAATTTTTACCTAATGACGACACATTTGGGAGAATGCAAAATTTTCTGTGTTTATGTGTTGGTACAACTTTTACAGTAAAATTAGATTCACTTTTTTTGAGATGAAAACCAGCAAGTTGAATGTTAATATTTCTTCAGTGGCATGCTTGTTCTCAGTATAATACAGTATTTGGGGAACCATCAGTTGCAAAAACCACGAGAAACTATATCCATTTTGCCTTGTAAAAACCATTTGCTCAAAATTATTGTGTAAATACTAACTAGATACCACTGAAATATAAGTGGAAAGGATAATCTGAACGTAATTTTTTAACTCACATTAAGTGACTTTACTATATGAGGTATACAGAGCTGCTGTAGACTTTGTTCTAACATACTGGAAGAATGTCTTACCTCTTTCTGGAAAAGTCCTATAGTCCAATCTCATGAAAATTTCGAAAAAGTCCTATATTATAAGTACGGTTGACTCTGAACAATGTGGTAATTAGGGGTGCTGACCCCCCTGCACAGTCAAATCCACGTATAACTTTCGACTCCCCCCAAATTTTAATAATAGCTTGATTATATACACAGTTGATTAATACATATTTAGCATATTATATATATTATATATGCTGTATTCTTACAATGAAGCTAGGAAAAAAATGTCGCTAAGAAAGTTACAAAGAAGAGAAAATACAGGACTGTACTGCATTGAAAAAAATCCGTGTATAAGTAAGTGGACTTGCACAGTTCAGACCCCTGTTGAAGGGTCAGCTGTACATGAAAAAGTAACAAGTACCTAGAAGAAAAATACACTTTTCTAATTATTAGATTAGCCATCAAATATTAATGTTAATTGATGAAGTTTGACGTAATCATACTCAAACATACTATATTTTGGCCAAAGTGGCTTTATTTTTCTTTACTGGTTTGTAACTGTAATCTGTTAAATTTTGGCCTAAAAACTAAGTAGAATTTACTTATTACGATATATGTACAATCTAATAAAGGAATATTGGATATTTGCTTAAAGGGGACAGAGAGGTAAGCCAGTGAAAATACTTGATATTAATAAAAACGTTTGGATTTTCAAACAATTTTCGTTTTGATTCATGCCCCTTCAGTATTCTGTTGTTGAGGGGGAAAGTGTTAAGACAATTCTTTTTTTTTTTAGATTTTATTTATTTGAGAGAATGAGAGAGAGTACATGAGAGGGGGGAGGGTCAGAGGGAGAAGCAGACTCCCCGCGGAGCAGGGAGCCCGATGCGGGACTCAATCCCGGGACTCCAGGATCATAACCTGAGCCGAAGGCAGTCGCTTAACCAACTGAGCCACTCAGGCGCCCGACAATTCTTTTTTTTTTTTAAGACCATTCTTAAAGTAGTATCTTAGTATTAAAGTTTAATTTTTCCATCTCCCTATCTTTAAGAATTACGAATTTTTAGGCATTACAGAATCCCAGAATTGAATAGGTCATGGGTTCAGCTCTCACATATGGGCAGGACCATGTCTTGTTAAAAATCTAATATTTTGAAATGTTATTCTCTGACTCAGAATATCCCATTTCTATTCTGAGTAGTTGTAGGCACCAATTTTCATATTGCATTAAGTCCATTTTCTATTAATCTACCTTTAAAATTGCTCTCCTTTTGCCTGCCTTCAGATTGAAAAATTCTGCTCCCTTTTACTTTTCTTCCTAAACATTACTTTCAAACCTTTAATTTTTTGTTTTAAAACTGGTATTTCAGTTACATAAGTAATCTTTTGGGAAAAATATAACACGTTAATGCTACAAATAAAGGTATAGATCCCCTTGCAATGAACATTGTCCTTCCAGAGATAAGTACTGTTATAATTTTGGTGTATATTATCTATAATCATTACAGTTGCAGAGCTGACAACTATAAATAGGCTCCATGCTCTGGTTTAGCATCTTAATCCATGGTAAATGTGGTATTTCATGACCGATAATAAACATAGACTGAGCACCTACCATGTGGAATCTAAACCATTCATCCACTCATTCATTCATTCAGGTATGTGCTTGACAGTATTCTAAGCACTTGGGGTGCACAAGTCTTTAGAGATAGATGATCGACAAATTTCATTAAATTACCTAACATGTTAGAACTAGATAAAATTCTATGGGATGAAAAGGAAGGATAATCAAGCGGTGGGAGGTTTGTAATTTTAAGTAGTGTGGTCTGGGTAGAATTCACTGAAGACATTTGAGCAACGATTTGAAGTAGATGAGATTACTTAAAAATTTAAGAAAAGATTCTTTAAAACGGGGTGTCTGGCTGCCTCAGTCGGTAGAGCATGCGACTCTTGATCTTGGGGTTGTAAGTTCGAGCCCCAGTAGAGATTACTTAAAAAAATAAAAAAAAATCTTTGAAGTAGGTGAGAGTTAGCCATGTAGATACCATGGGGCAGAACTTTCTAAGCAGGCAGAGTCTGTAAAGGTCAAAGTCGGGGCTGCACCTGGCATATTTGGGGAACAGCAAGGAGATTGGATTGAAATGAGTGAGATGAACAGGAAGAGGATGTCAGAGAGGTAATAACAGAGGGAATGGGGAACTCACAGGCTTTCTGGGCCATCATACACTTTGACCTCTCTCTGACCTGGGAAGCCTTCGTGGGGTTCTGAGGAATGGAATGATCTGGCTCTTTTTGGAAGCATTATTATGGCTGTGTGTTTGGAAAAGATGAGGAAGGTAAAGAGAGACTAGTAAGAAGGGTTTAATAATTCACACACGAGATGATGGTGGTACTTGTGGAAGGATGACTAAAATAATAAATACACATGATGTATAAAAATAAATTTATGTGCATAAATTAAGCACTATATATGAGATATGGGTATATAATGGTGAATGAAATAGATATGGTCACTGCCCTTTAGGAGCTTACATTCTAACTTGTCTAGAAATTTTTCTTGGTAGTCATTTCTAAATTTTCCTCAAAAAATTTCTTACATTCTTTTTCAAAGGATAGTAGCCAAAAAAAAAAAAATCTTAAAAAAATGTATCACGAAAATACACGTATACATACAGCCATAATGAGAAAGAAATATTATTAGATTCTGGACATTTATATTATGTTTCCTAATAGTTTTTCTGGGTACATTTTCATTGTACAATGCTAAATTAGCGACTTTGGAACAAATCTGTAGAATGCACCTATATTGTTCCTGAGTTTAGTCTGCCTTGTGCTAGATCAGTTTTTAGACAGTTGTTAATTTCTTTTGTGAGGTAATATTTCCTAATGATTAAGAGCCTGGCTCTGGTGTTGGACTGTCTAGGCTGAATTCTGACTCTACTACCTGCAACTATATAACAGACTAATTACTTACCCTCTTTGAGCCTTGCTTTATTTTGCTTTTCTAAAAAATGGGGACAAATGTAGTACCTACCTTATGGGTTCTATTTTGAGAATTAAATGAATTGATTCTAGATATATCTTAAAGGTAGAGTCAATAGAATTTCCCAATAGATTTTTCAACCGGAGCCGCTGGAAGGATGGAGGTGGCATTAGCTGGGGTGGTAGAAGATGCTGGTAGAGCAGACTGGGGGGAGGAGGTAGTGGATCAACGTCCAGATGAAGAATGCAGAAAAATGAATTAAAGATTCCTACAGTCTGTTCTTGTTTATGCAGTGTATGGTCAAGCTTGCGTTTAGAACATTTCGTTTACATTTCCAAGTGGTAAGCTACTGCGTTTAGACAAGAATGTGTATCAAATACTTAAATAATCATTAGAAAATTTTAAGGATAAACTGCTCAGCATGTATTAGCTTCAGCCTTTCCTAATTTCAGTAACGTATCTGTCTCTTCACAAGTTATTCTGTCTTCCAGTTGCATCACTGGATATCCTCTCCCCTTCAGTGCTGGCTCTGACTTAACGTAAGTTTTCTTTTTGTCTTCCAACATGATCTCTTGGACTTTTCCTAAATCAGGGATCAGATTTTTGTACCAGTTTCCAATATTTGCTCTGAGTCAGGCAAGGAGAGGCCCAACCGCATGTGTTCGCATTACCCAAAGCATACCCACCTTAGAGGCCTAGGAGAAAAAATGTTTAAGGGTGAGGATAAGTGAACCTCTAAGATGTTAAGGTTGACTAGATTGAAATGGGGGCACAATGCTTGGAGTGTTCCATGTTACTTTGATTAGCAAGAAGGGTGTAAAGAGCACCTTTATTTGGGAAGATGCAGACATCAGCCATAATCCTACATCAGGCTTTTGCTCCACTCCCAAGCCAAACGATCGGTAAAACAGGCTTATGTTTTCAATGTCCACTCCCTGACCTCTACAGAGAAAGAGCTCTTAACGTGACATTCATGGAGTAGCCTTACATAAATGCATGGTGTATAAATCCTATATAAAATGTGTGTGTGTGTGTGTGTGTGTTTTCCCTAAAGTCTGTACGGTGGATGAAGCTCTGTAAGATATCCATAACTCAAAAATTTAAGAGCTCTTGCTTCAAAGAGTGCTTATTTTCTAGTTTTTAAGAGCAGCTATGTAAATAAACCTTTGTTTTACCTTGCTGTCATTGATTTTAAGTCTAATAGACTCAGTAAAGACACTAATAAAGGATAGAAGGGTACTTTGACAGCTTTTATTATTTTTTATTTTTTTTAAATATTTTATTTATTTATTTGAGAGAGAGAGAGAGAGAAACAGTATGAGAGGGGAGAAGGTCAGAGGGAGAAGCAGGCTCCCCGGCTGAGCCGGGAGCCTGACGTGGGACTCGATCCCAGGACTCCGGGATCATGACCTGAGCCGAAGGCAGTCACTTAACCAACTGAGCCACCCAGGCACCCACTTTGACAGCTTTTAGAGGTGAGATCTAAAACAACTGAGACTTTTCCCAGTGATGAAGGTATTTTTGACAAAGTTACAAAATTATCTATTACGTGAAATAAATACAACTTTGCACCAAGAATAATGCCAGCAAAAAAGAGAAGCATGTGTGCTGAATCTCATTCTCCAGCTAAATTGAACGCTAGAGTTGTTATTCTGCCCTGTGAGTTGCAAATAATCACCAGCAGTGAAGAAAGAGTCAGACTTTGTCCTACTATCTTTTCTTTCCTCTAAGACCAGGAAGAGCTGGTGACCCATCATGTTTTCTCTTTGGTTTTCACCTTCTTGCTTTTTCATTTTATATCTTCATTAGCTTATATAATTCTCATACTAAGAGGTGGTAGGAAAGGACTTGTCTCAAAAGCTAACTATAGTTACAGATATGGCATTGGAAGGACTGTATCTAGATCTGGGTAGGAGGTCGTTGGGTGTGTTAAAAAGCTATAGTGATAAATCGTCAACTCTGGGCAAAGTTAAGTGTCATTGCAGGGTTTCCAATGATTCTCATGTGTCAGG